TCAATTGCCCTGGTACTACCAATTTATGGTTGAGAGAGTTGCTTGTGGTCCTGGCCATGGGATCAGTGTAAAATTTGAAAAACAAGACAATCAGATATGGTTATTTCTAATTAATTGTAGTATTGTCAGTTGTGAGGTTACGCTATTGTTGCAGCGTTGGTAGTCTTGGCAAGGAACAAGAAGAGGCTGGAGTGCAAAATGTGACCGTAAAAACTGTAACATTTACAGGTACGCAAATGGAGTGAGATAAAATCTTGGGGGAGACCTAGCAGTGGTTTTGCTAGAAACATTCTTTTTCACGTGCCATCATGAACAATGTCCAAATCCTATTGTTATTGATCAAAATTACTACCCTGACGAAGAAAACTGCCTGGACAGGTAACATCACACAAAGTTTATACATGGATAACTCATTTCATATAACTGTTCCTATATATTTTAAGACTCGACGTAACGAAAATTCATCCTTCACATACAATATTTTCAATGTCTTCGGTTTACTTGAATTAATATGTAACAGCTTCGGGGTTAAATAGTGCGTGACATACCAATATTCATGGAACATCTGCGACGAGTTGGTGTTAAGTTTGATTGCAGTTCGGAGAATCCATGTTCTGCATAACCTTGGACGACGTAAACTCACTTATCAGAATAAACCAGCTGAAGCTTCATCCGCCATGCTGATGGATCTGCTTCCGCTTTCGTTCAGCCCAATAGCTGTTTGGTGTAGTGAAAAATACATGAAGTCGTTTGCATTATAAGAATATGCTATAGATGGCGAAAATCGTTATTGTGTCTTTTTATTGTATATTGCCACAAGACGTTGTTGTACTTTTACAATATTAATTATTATATATTCAAGCTATTACCTTCGATAGTTGCCCCGAAGAATATTAACTTAAGGCATACATGACAATACGAGGCAAAGAGATTTGAAACAACATAATAACTTTTATTTTTCTGAAAAATCCATCAAATCTTTTTTCTAACAGTAAAGAAACAACCGAAAATGGAAACTGAAGATCACTAAATAAGATTGAATCGCTATAAAATTTTTTAGCTGCAATATAACTTATTTGCCAATCCATATGCTTCCATCTCTATTTTTGAGAATCATATATAAATATTCTTCTATTTGGTAGGGATAGTGTTTATGGAGAACGGGGTAGATGAGTTTTAAGGGTTGAAAAATGAGTTTTGATTAGGGTTTAAGGCTGTGAATGAGGCATTTTCGCCTTTAAAATTGCGTTGAATGAGAAAGTGCTATTTTGTGAGATACTTTTCCAAAAGAGTAATACTACACTTACAAAGAAATTTTACAAAGATCTTCATACAAGTGATGTGACAAAAAATGAATGAAGAGTGAATTTAATGAGTTTGACTTTTTTTTCACTCTTCCATTCATTTTTACACTACTTCGCTTTGTATGAAAATTTTTGTAAGATTTCTTTGTAAAGATAATATTTTATTTCCAAAATGGCTAGTTCTCGATTCTCAACCTAAAATAGGGCCAAATAATTTATATAATTTCTCTCATGTTTTCAGGAAGCTTTTGTACCATTTAGCTGAGTCTTGGGGGATACGCCGATACGGGTTATACTGCAACGTTTTGAGGAAGCTTTTGTAACATTTCTTTCAATCTATAGGCCCCTCACGTAAACTCTGAATTTATTTTTTATCCGATTGAATGTGAAGATTCAAATTTAACCTTTAACTCTAATACATATTAAATTGTTAATCCACGTGAAAGCTTTAAGTTAGAAAGTAAAACCTACCAATTATGTTCGTCAATAGCCAAAGTTGTGTCAAACTTTTTATTATCTGATCTAGTCAGCAAGTACAAAAGTATATAACAGTTGTGGCTTATTCAATCCTTTAGGTTTATGGTATTCAATAAACTCTTCCGGTTTCGTTCAGCCCAATAGCTGTTTGGTGTAGTGAAAAATACATGAAGCTGTTTGCATTATAAGAATATGCTATAGATGGCGAAAATCGTTATTGTGTCTTTGTATTGCATATTGTTACAAGACATTGTTGTACGTTTTACAATATTAATTATTATATATGCAAGCTCATTACTCTTTGATGGTTGCCCGAGAAGAATATTAACTATAAGGCATATACATGACAATACGAGGCCAAAGAGATTTGAAACAACATAATAAACTTTTATTTTTCTGAAAAATCCATCAAATCTTATTCTAATAGTAAAGAAACAACCGAAAATGGAAACTGGAGATCACTACATAAGATTGAATTGCTATAATTTTTTTTAACTGCAGTATAATCTTATTTGCCAATCCATGTGCTTCCATCTCTATTTTCGAGAAATCATATTATAAATATTTTACTATTTGGTAGGGATTATAGTTATGGAGAATGGGGTAGATGAGTTATAAGGGTTAAAAAATGAGCTTTGATTAAGGGTTTAAGGCTGTGAATGAGGGCATTTTCGCCCTTTAAAACTGCGTTGAATGAGAAAGTGCTATTTTGTGAGATGCTTTTCCAAAATGGCTAGTTATCAATTCTCAACCTAAAATAGGGCCAAATGATATTATATAATTTCTCTCTATGTTTTGAGGAAGCTTTTCTAACATTTGCATTTTAATCTATTAGGCCCCTCACGTAAACTCTGAAATTTATTTTTTATCCAATTGAATGTGAAGATTTGAATATGTAACCTTTAACTCTAATACTGTTTTAAATTGTTAATCCACGTGAAAGCTTTAAGTTAGAAAGTAATAGCCTACCAATTATGTTGCGTCAATACGAAAAGTTATGTGAAAGTTTTTATTACCATGATCTAATCGGCAAGAACAAAATTATATAATAGTTGTGGTTTATTTAGTTCTTTAGGTTTATAAGTTATTCAATAGATTCCAAAAATTATTTTAAGTACACGCGCAAATTAGTTCGGATATCCGATTACCAAAAAAAAGAAAAAAATTACATAACATAACAGTTGTCCGAATTTAATTCGCTATAGCTTAAAATGCATGTCGCTGGCCACATCGTTATATAGTTATCTCCATCATGCCATGTCCTAGCTAGTTATAGAAAAAGACAAAAACCATCAAAGCTGCCAAAACCCCACACATTTTAGACGTTAATATTTTTAACTTAATTTATTTTTCCTCCTTCTTATACTGAGCTAAATTCAACTGCACGGAGCTCATCCTGTTGTGTGAAATTGTCATCTAACATGAACAAACAAAATTTTCTTTTGTGATGCACACCATAACCCTTTGAATAAAGTGTGACAATCTCACATTCCAATATAAAGAATAAAACAATTAAAGAAATATATTTCAATGAAATATGTATGTGCACTCGTCCTTTGTGTTATTTGTCTTTCCATGAATTGTTATAAGCAGTATTTAAAATGTTTCCATGATTTTGAAATGTTTTTTATTTATTAATTGATAGGTTTCTCATCATCAAAAATGTTTTTTAATAATTAAAATATTATTTGACCAAGTCAAACAGTAGTAACATGCCTTGACCAAGTCAAACAGACTATAATAAATATCGACAAAAATGTTTTTAATAATGAAAATGTATTAAGTCAGTTTAATTGTCATTATTAGTAGCTTTTATTTGCACCTAAATGTTAAAGATTATGCATAATGTAAAACCACACATTCATTTGAATGACATATGTCCACATGCCTATAGTTGAAAAGTATACATCCTTATTCAAAAAGGTAATCAACATAGACAACATTTTCATCTGCATGCAAAATATGTAATCTTCCAATTGCTAGTTTGGATAATGAAATTTGAGTTAACAAGCAAGATAGATTATAATGTTATTGAAAATTCTGGAAATAAAATCCCAATGGATTGGCCTAATGGTCAAGAAGGTTTGCTCATTTTATAGACTTTTTGGGTTCAAACTACTTTAAGGTCACCTATCATATCTGTGGTTTACCTTGGAACATTAGGCTTATAAGGAATTCAATGAATCCCAGATATTAGTTGAAATGCATACAAACTAGCCAAACACTTCGATCATTAAAAAAAAAAAGTTAATATTATAAATTTAAACCTCAAAGAGGTTGGCTTGGCAGTAAAGAGGATTTGCTCACTTCTTTAAGTTTCTGTGTTTAAACCTTCGAACTACCTACCACAATAACAATGTGGATTACCTGATCCTTTGGGCTTGTATAGTGTTCAATGAATTTCTAAGATTAGTTGAGGTGCATATTAAGTTGGACTGGACATCCTGATTACCAAAAAAAAAAAAAATTCTGGAAATTAGCTTCTCTTTGAGCATGTTAATGACGTTTCTATTAACATGCAATAATATTGTGATAAATGGATTAACCTCATTAAATAGTTAGATGTTCCATATTGTTATCAATCAATACTAGTATGCTAAAATGTGAAAGCGCAAAGGGTTAAGGTTTCAGCCTCAGGCAACAGTCATAACACCAATCGAATTCATGTGCAATCATTCAGCGTACAATCTTGAACTTTAAAATTGGACCTGGTGATGATTGTGTATCAATTGGTCCCAAAAGTGGGGAGAGTGTGGGATCACACATCACTTGCTTGTGAAAGTGTGAAGTGCCATATAAGTGAAGGTTCCTTACCCACCTGCGAGGCACCTTTTGTAGTATATGGGCTGCAAGAGGACAAAACTGTGAGGCTTGTGAGCTCCGATGTGCCGGGCCAAAGCGGACTATACCTTGCAGGAGGTGAGGCATTACAATTATCCCAAACCTCAAGAAATTCTTTTAATATTCCCTCATCAAGAATAAGATATTCTCTTCAGATTTCACTCAAGATCTAGTAAAAGAATAACATATTAAAAGCGATGCATTGAAACCAAACATATAGAAACAAAATATATGTACATGATACATTGAACCAAACACGTAGAAACAAAATGAGATCTAAGATGGAATCGTATTGTAGATGTAATCTTTTAATTTACCTTTTGAGTTAGATTTCTTCCTCTTCCTCTTCAATCCTTGGGAATTTGATTCCTCTTCCTCTTCCTCGAATAAATATTATTTCTTTATATTATGTTAATGTTGCCAAAAAGGAAACAAAATTCAGCTCATTAGGATTTTAAATAAGAACATAAACAACAAATAGCATTATTATAGCACTTTTGTCATCGTTGTTCTTTTTTTTTTTTTTTTTTCTTTGCTTAATTATTAATTTAATTCATTGTAATGTGACAACTGTTTATCATACGAAACTTTTATATTTATTAAAAATACAATGGGACTCAAGTGTGACCACCCGAATTTTGCTTAAACCTAGACCAAATGCTCTCAATTGTAATAAATCCAATCTCAATGAAAAATTACAAATATAATAAAAACAAAAAAATAATACAACACTTACCAACTTTTTATACAAACTCTCATGCAAACTGAAGTAACAACTTTGCATGGTTGTCATGGAATTTCTTTTAATTATTTAATTTATTTTTAATTTAAAATCACATAATTATCTTTTGCACATCAGTTTATATGAAAAAATTTGTAAATACAGTATTACTCAAAACAAAAAATTAAAAAGACGGGCCTCATATAACATTTTCCTTTTAACTTTTAACCAAATTCTCTCTCTCACATCTCTTCTTCTATTTGTCTCTCCCCAGTTTTCATATGGTTTATCTCTCTACATCATTTGTATCTAGTTCTATCACCCAAAAAAAAAAAATTCATTTCTACCTTTCACTTAGACTTGTTTTATTACTTTATAGCTGGAGTGAAGAAAAAAAAAAAAAAAATATATATATATATATATAGATAGATAGATAGATAGATAGATAGACTAAAAAGGGAGGCATTACTTTAAGTTTCACAATGAAAGAATAAACAAAAACATAATAAAAATTCTGATATTTCAATTTATTTTATTTAAAAAAATGCATTTTTAACCAATTTAATTAATTTTTTGTTCAATTAGTAGTCTTAATGTAAGTCCTTGTAGCACACATTAAAAAAAAAACAAAAACAAAAACAAAAACTCTAAAACTTACAAGAAAATTATTTAGAAACAATTATGAACAAGAAATTAAAGAAGTAACAAAATGTTTATGGTATATAGTAAAGAGGAAGAAATTACCTTGAAATCTTCAATCTCTTGGGGAATGGTTCTTCTTCCTCCTCATTGATCTCTGTATACAATAAATGGATCCCACACTCTTTCACATTGCAACAGGCTATGCGTTTATTATTTAAATCCTCAGCATAAAATTGGATGGTAATCTTATCATAGTAACCAGAAGGACACATATGGAAATCATATCCCATGAATATGTGATCTGAGTTAACATTTTCAGGTCCACTATTATAGTGCCAACCCTTCAAAGTGCCATGGTATAATACTATCTCATCGTTAGTTTTGAACTTGCATTCACAGCCAACAACCAAACCCTGGCCCTCATTGTGATAGTTTCGAAATTCTACAACAGCGCACATAGCAAAATTAACAAAGCTGGGATTCAACCAATTTGATGGCAGCTCGAGATTTATCGAAGACCCTGAACTTCGAGTGCTAAACCACTCTGGAATTTTAGTTCCTGGGAAACAAATACTAGCACTAGGTCTTGGATAAAATTCCTGTACAAAGAACATTATTACAAAGAAATTAAATGTCAACTCTAACATCATTATATATATAATAGTAAAATTAAATTAACAGCATCTAGCTATTTTAAGAGAGAGACCTTATAAACTTCAAACCGCGGAATTTTCAGTAGAGGATCATTCATAAAGTCTCCAAGTGCATTTTGGTCCAGTTTGGAACAACTGATGAAGTTAACTCTCACGTTTCCCAAATAAGATCGGTAAGGAATTGATAAACTTGAGGTTGCTTCCAATGTTGTGCAATTGTGTGCATCTATATATCGTAGCTGACATGGAAGCTCGGGTAAGGATTGAAGCCTCTCGCAGTAACCCAATTCAAGATAAGACAACTTAGAAAGGTGTATGATGCTAGTTGGAATTCTCTCAAATTTGTTTCTGCCTAAAAGTAACCTTTTTAGGCAGAGTAACTGACCAAGACTATTAGGTAACTCCCTGATACAACAATCGGTCAGATTTAGTTCCATCAAGATCCGCACACATAAATTGGATGAGAGTACCTTCAAATCTTCCAAATTTCTCAATTCAGGAAATCCATCAAGTTTTGAACAGCCCGAGAGATTAAGATGTTGAAGAGATTTCAACTCGTAGATATTGCTCGGGAGATTCTCTAGCCTTGAACATTCTTCAAGATTCAATTTAACTAGTCTAGATAGATTCTCTATTGATGAGGGCAACTTTTCTATTGCAGTTCTATCTAAAAATAACTCTTGTATGCTCCATGACACATCTGGAAATGTCCTGAGATTTGAGCAATAAGAAAGAATAACTTTCCTGAGAGATTGTGAATGAATGCCCATTGGAAGACTAGAAAGACTTTTGCAGCATTTCAGATTCAAGATAACCAGATTGTTGAGATATCGAATAGATGAGCAAATCTCAGACAATTTTGTACAACCTTCTAGAATTAAGCTCTCCAGATTTCTGGCAAGTGAGAGGTCTGGGATTTTGAGTAAATTTTTGGAGTAACTGAGGTTGATACTTTTTAAATTTTTAAGATCCTGTAAAAAAAAATAAAAAATAAAAAATAAAACAAACAGAGAGAGATTAACCAATATAAATTAGCATATATATATCATCCTTATAATTTATAACAAAATATTGTAATTTAACTACAAACATATACCTGTGTATCAGTCCAAAGTTGTTCAACATTAGTATAAGGCATGTCAAGTACGACAAGGTTTTGTGGATTAAACTTCAACTGCGAGGGATTCACCGGGCATCCATGCCAACAGAAGTATCTTAGCTTAGTGAAAGGAGATTCAAGGCCTTGGGAAACATCAATTTTACTGATGTTATCCTTTTCACAGTAAGAATTATATATCTTCAAGAATCGTAGCCTTTTCATCTCTCGAAACACATGAGGATTTAATTCTATCTTACTTCCTTCAATCATGTCAAACCATATGCCTTCAATTGCTCTAGTTCCCTAATAAACAAGAAAACAATGTTAGGCATCAATTCATTAAAGCTTACTTTTACATTTTAGTGGTTCAAATACGACATCTTTTTTAAGGAAATTATATAGGATTCTTAGAAGATAATTTCCAAAATTTTAATAATTGAATATACATAGCATGATGTACATGTGTGCGTGTGTTTGTATAACATGAATGCAAAAGTAATGTCTTTGATCTTACCGTAGATTCCTCCAGTATAGGATAAATATCTTTGGGATGCCACAAACGACTCCAGTCTTCAGGATATTGAGAGAATTCTTGTATAATTCCCTTACCCATTTCTCGAAGTAAGTCATGCATTATTATCTTATCACTTGACACACTTATGAGACATTTGTCGATAAGAGCATCTATTTCACAAGTTGGGCCGGAGTTATCAATATCACAAAATTTAATTACAAGAGCTTTACTCTCCCTTTCAAAAAAACATGCAATATCTAGAAAGATACCTTGTTGCTTAGGATCTAATCTATCATAACTGACTTTTAGCACGTCTTGAATATCCTTCCAAGGCATTATTTGTAGTTTATTTATGACACTTTCCCAAACTTCTTCTTTTTTGCCAAATAAAATGGAACCCAACACAGCCAGAGCTAATGGAACACCATTTGCATACTTTATTACCCTTTTCGACAGCTCATAATAACCTGAAGGTGGATACTTTTGTTGAAAGGCATGCCAACTAAAAAGCTGAGAAGCTTCATGATGAAACAATCTCTCAACCTTGTATATATTAGTGTCATCCACTCCACAATTCTTAAGCACTTGTTTATTTCTTGTTGTTATAATGAATCGACTTCCTAAACCGAAACAATTAAGATCTCCAATCAAATCTGTTATTTGTTTTTTGGACTCCACATTATCAAAAACAATGAGAACTTTTTTACACCCAAGTCTTATCTTTGTTAACTCGCAAGCTAGATCGGCTTTTTCATCCTGTAAAATTGCAGAAAAAAGATCTTTCTGCAAAGATGTGTTAACATCAGCAAAAAAATAATCATCAAACTCCTTAAAGATTTTGTTGGATACAGCTTTTGCAATAGTTGTTTTCCCTATACCACCCATTCCCCATATTCCTACTTTGAGAACCCCATTGCGTAATAAAGTTCAATTTTCTTGATGCTTGATTGTATTCCTACTAAATTCTTGTCATAATGACTTGGGTACATATGAATCAATGTCCTCCGAACATCTTCGACAATTTCCTGTATACGATCATATTCGGGCCTAACAAATATAGAAATCAAACAATGAAAATATATGTAAACAAATCAAACTTACATTATTTTAATTCTATTAGTTAATATCGATAAGTAATAATTGATCAAGAAATTTCTCCCATATGATTCTCCCTCTTCAAAGTTGTTAGTTAAAATAAATTAATTAAAAAGTGTCTCATTTAACCCGCCATTAATCTAATCGAAGTGCCGCATTACGAGATCTATCAACTATGAATTTCAATAAAAATAAAACATATAATTAAATAAAAAGTAATTCATAGTGAGGATGTAAGTACACTTACTTTTTGCCATCTAAATGCCAGCCAGATAAGTTTGCTGCTGCCGTCAAAGCATCCCTCCATTCCCTCCTTAACGTCTCAGAACGGTTGTCATGCTTAGCAAATCCAACTCCGAAAGTTCCAGTTTGATTTCTTACATCTGATGGATCTACGAGATAAAAAACTGGTATTACAATCTGCCCATTTTTTTTCTTTTGTCCACTAATGATCTCCCTAAGTTCTTTGAGGCACCATTTGGAAGATCCATAGCGTTTTGAAAAAATGATAACCGAAATCTTTGATTCTCTAATTACATTCAAAAGAGATGACCAAATTTTCTTTCCTCTCTTAAGATCTTTATCAATAAAAGTTGAAATATTCGCCCGAATCAGAGCTCCGTAGAGATGGCTGGTAAAATTGTAGCGGGTGTCGCCTCTAAAACTAAGAAAAACATCATACTTTTCTTGAGGAGAATCATATGAAGCCATCAACTTCTACTGATGAGAACGGCTCTTTTTTAGATCAGTTGGCAGAATATCAAGAACTTCTACTGATCGAGAAATTACCCAGATCCAACACTCAAAAATCCTTTTACAAAGTGTTTAGATGAAAAGAGAGAGATTGGTCAAATACCATCTTCAATTATGTATCATGCATTCACCTTCAACGAAGCCTCTTTCCAATTTTCAATTAATTTTTCGTGGAAGATGATCTCTTTGTAGCCATTGACTTAGCATAAAGACAAATTATCCCGTTGGTGTTAGTAATAAAAATATAAATAATTTGGATTCTTAATTACGCAAAATTAAAATAAAAAAATTAATATGCTTAATTAAATTGTAAAGCCATACCGTTTGTTTGAATTTATTAAGTGTCAGAAAATTAATATTATAATGGATAAACGGGATCTAAAAGTTAGTAACATTTAATGGGTAAAACTTTTGTTTGATGGGGGAAAATGATGAATTGATACTTCCTAGACTTTTGCAGAAGGGACAATAGAAGTGTGCAGGGGAGCAGGTTTGTTCTGTGGAAAAAACGGAATTGGCTTATAATAGTAATATGCTTTGAAATTATTGAAGAGTGATTGCTACGTGTCTATTGAAAGGTTTAATCTTTTTGGGATGTTTGGAAATAAAAGATGAGAGAAAGAGAGTTGAAAGTAAAGGGATCCAGAAGAAAACAAAGGCATTGTGGGATGGCAAATCCTGGGGTCAAGGCTGCTGATCGATACACTGTTCCAAGTTTATGCGTAACCAAATTATATGAAAGCCTGATACGGATAAGGTCGAATTAAGAAGTGATTTTTATTTTTTTATTTATTTTTTCTCAGTTGATCATGACGAGCAAATTTATACGTACTTTAACTAATTTCTTAAGACTCTAAAACTATTAATTGAATAAGAACTCCAGTGATCACTCCTATTAGTGTCTAAGAAGACTCAAATTCAAAAACTTATAAAATCTTTTTTTACTCTTTTACCATCACACTACCTAATAGTGATTAAAAGTGATAGATGTTTGTTTGTAGAATATAATTTGAATTTGAAAATGTGTTTAGTAAATTTTTGAAAAACATTTTCTGAAAATATTTAGATTATTTTTTAACCCCTTACATTTGTTAATTTAGCTAAACACCTTTTACAATAAAATATTAAAAATTAACAAAAACATCTTCACCCATCCAATAAATACCGACAACCGGCCACCATCGTCAGAGAGTGGTTGAAAGTCGCTGGAATAATGCATGACCGATGGATCTAGCCGATTGTACGTCGATTTGGCATTTTTCAGTCAAATCTACGGCCAAAGATCTGGTAGTTGACGACCAGATCTTGCCATATCTAGTCATCAACAACAACTATAGATCTAACAGGAAAAAGCTAAATCGACACACGACTGTCATATCCAATCGGTCATACGCCATTCCAACATATTCAGGTCACCTTTTGACAGTAGTAGCCGACTACTAGGAATATATGGGTAAATGGATAATGGTGTTTTTGTCAATTTATAAATATTTATTATTAAAAGTGTTTAATTAAATTAACAAATCTAAAAGGTTAACAAAATGAAAATATTTTAAATTGAATAGAATAGGATTAAATTTTCATAATATTGAAATAAATATATATTTTAAATAGGATTGGATAAGGTAGGCTTCGAAAAAAATGATACAATCACAGGCAAGAGAGTTGTTAGAGCATTATCAAGTCAAAAAGACGTGTGAAAAAGATTGCTACATGGAAGAGATTGTTGTCATAGTTAGGTTCACCGAAATTACTAATACACCCTACTGTTCACACAAAATTCCCTATAATGTTCACAGAAAATTACAGTAGACCCTGCACTGTTTACAAAAATTATAAATGTACCCCATAAGGTTCATAAATTACAAATATTCTCTGCACTGTTCCTAAAATTATAATTACATAATATTTTAAATAGGAAATTGTCCACAAATAACATCTACTTCATACAAGTTTTCATATTAAAATATTCGAATTACTTTTGTTTTTAGTTTCATATATAACTCCTTTGGTTAATTTATATAATGAATTTATTTTACTACAAGAAACTTTATTTTCAGTATGACAATGATAAAACTTAAAGCAAAAATTAAAATTTTAGCAATTATAAACATAGAATGATCATTACTGATAAGTTATTATAATTATAATTATAACTATTACTATTTAATAATAATAATAAGAAGAATAATTATTATGTAATAGAACCAGATCTGATTGAGAGAAAGGCCCAAAGAAAAGGGATTGGATCCAAATTAAAGGTTAAAGGCCCAAAGGCTATTAACCAAAGAATTTGGGTCAATCGTTATTACCCAAATAAAAGCGAAGCGAAGAGAAAAAGAATAACATACAACCATGCCCTATAACTTAAAAAGTGTATTTGGGTCAAAAATTGTATTACTTAAATTATTATATTAATAGAAGGATATATTACTTTGAAAATACTTTTTATTAGAATAATAAATTAATAGGTATGTTACATAAATTATTAAATTACTTTTCTATTTTAATATTAATATAATATATATATATATTTTTTTTAATCATTTCATTTGACTTCTTACAATTAAAATTTCGCTAAAACAATCTAACTTATAGAGAACTTTACTTTGTGACAAAATCACATCCACCCAACCCAAGCCATTGCTAACAGTCACACGACCGACCGAATCTCGTTGAGCATGAGTTGATATGAGCGCTTTCAACCATATAAATGGTTGAAAATAACCAAATGGTCGTCGATCTGGCCAAAAATGGCTAGATCTATTCCTACATCCACAACCATGGATTTGGCCATTAACAACCATATATATGATCGAAAACGGCCATATCTACGCTTGCAACCATTTCCAATGACTTTTGATGTCAAACGACGATAACTGATGATGGTTGGCCAGCTACAAACAATGGTGGCTAGTGGGCGACAATGGTCCTAGATGACCTACAATTTGTTTTAGGTATAAAGACATTTTTGTCTAAAAACTTAATTAAATAGAGGTAAAATTGTAATGACAAATTCATGTATATAAATTTCAAAATAAGGGTATTTTTATCCAAAAATTTCATTAATAAGAAATAAAATTATTAAAAAAATAAGTTTACCTACTAATCTTAAAATACTTAAAAAAATAGAGGTAATCAGATTTTCTCTTATATTACCAATAGTAATTACTATTGGTTTTGAAAGATTACCAAAATCTTATATTATTTAACAGCTAAACGTAGTAATCAAGTAATATAAGATGATCTTACCTCAATAATTTTATACTACCCCCAACCAAACACACCCAAAGAGGTCATGTCAAGTTTATGAATTATGAAAACCACCCATAACTGCCCACCACCAACCAAGGGTGCCTATATACAAGAGGATAAACCAAGGGCAAATGACAGGATGAAGAGTCCGATTTCCTTCCGTTCTATGTTTAATTTCTAATTCAATATTGGTCATTCCCCATTGTCAATATAATTAGTTACTCATTCTTTGTACTTTCTTTCATTAGAGAAGCAATGCAAAAACTACGAGTGTGTTTGTTTTATTATTTTGAGTAATATTTTTGAAATATTATTATTAAGTTGAGTTGAGTTATTATTACAAAGTAGGATTTAAAAATTAACAAAAAAAAAAAAACCCTTAGGTCTTTTAATTTAGCTAAACACCTCCAATAATAAAAAGTTTATAAATTGAAAAAAAAAAAAACATCACCACCCATCAACAATTGCTAGATTCCACCCACTACTGCTAGAATCTGGTCGGAATCTTGTTTAATTGCGTATGACCAACCAGATCTAGCCGATCGTGCACCGCTATGACCTTTTCCGACCAGATCCACCACAGATCTGATCAGACAAAGGCAAATCTAGTCGTTGACGACCACATCTAGCCGTCAACGATGGCCAAAGATATGATCGTCGTTGTTCAACGATAATCAGATGTGACCAAAGATCTAGCCGCCAAAGACTAGATCCACAGTGAATTTGACCGAAAAAGGTCAAATCAACTCACTATCAACCAAATCCAACCAATAGTGTTCTATTACACCAGATTTTGACCACCTTTCAACAGTGGTTGTCAAGAATCTGACAAATGTGGATAGGTGAGAGTTTTTTTGTCAATTTATAAAACTTTTTTGTTAAGAGTATTTAGTTAAATCAACAAACATACAAGGATTTAAAATAGTTAAATATTATAAAATATGATTTTGAAAATAGGAAAAACAAATGTACCTTCTTTTAGAATAGGAACAGGGTATTTTCAAAAAAAAAAAGAAACAAACGCAGCCTACTTATCTTGGGGGTTACAAATTTGACTCCAATAACAATATTAACAGTAACAATTATTATTGGGTGCATTTGGTTTAGTATTTTGGATAGGATTTTGGAGATAGTATTGGGTTATTGGATAGGGGAGTATTACGAGGTAAATTTTAAAAATTTGTGAAAAAGCCCTTAGGTTTACTAATTTAATTAAAGACCCTAACATATAAAATGACAAAAACACCCCCACTACCTGCAGTGCCAGAATCCGACCACCACCGCCGGAATCTAGCCGAAAAATTTCGTTACGGCACAAACCGGTCAGATCTGTGCCGTAACACGTCGTTATGACCTTTTCCGGCCAAATCCATAGTAGATCTAGTCGAAAAAGGCCAGATCTATGGTCTTTTATGGTAGTCGACGGCCAAAGATGTGGCCGTCGTTTTCGGTCAACGACGGCCAGATCTGGCCTTTTCCGGCCAAATCCGTGGTGGATCTGGCCGGAAAAGGCCACATCGGTGAACTTTCGGCCATTTCTAGTCGGAAGTTAGGCCATTGTACAGATTCCGACTATCACCGACAGTGGTTGCCGAAATCTGACAAGTTGGGTTGATGGGGGTGTTTTTGTTAATTTTTAAACTTTTTTTTAGGGGGTATTTAGTAAAATTAATAACCTTATGGGATTTAAAAATAATTAAAAAAAATAGAGTAATATTTTTGAAATAATGTGCCAAACATTATTTGGAGAATAGGATCCAGAATATGGATAAAAATATTAAGCCAAACACAGCCATTGTTATTATTATTATTACATCATTGTCTCAAACCAGGACCCACCAAATTCAAAATCCGAGCAAAATAATCGTTAACAT